TACCCCCCGACGCGCGCGCGCTGACTAACTGCCTGACGGCCCCCCCGAGGGGGGGGGGGGGGGGGGGGGGCGTGTTTGCGGGGGCTTCGTCCAGCCGCGACGCCGAGGGCGGCCGTCGAGTCCGGCCCCAGGGTCGCGGGCGCCCGGGGAGCGCGCAGGGAGACATAGTAAGCGACCCAGGGAATGGCCATGATTTCGGGGTCCTGGCTGGAGCCGGCCCTCGGCACCCCCGGGGAGGCGTCCTCCAGGCTCCCCCGGAAGGCCCCCGCGAAGTACATGCCCCCGTTGACAATTTCCCAAGCCAGCACAGACGACCAGCCGCGCTTGGCATGATCCAGCGGGGGAAAGAGAGCCATCCGTGAAGATGTGCAAGGCCAGAGGGGGGCTGATTAATATGGGGAGCCAACGAGAGGGCGAGCTGGGCAGAGGGGTGAAGATCCGCGGGGGTGACGCAGTCCACCTCGTACTTGATAGAGAACAGACCTGATATCTCGACGATGTCGCAGTCCAGGTTGCGCATGCTCGGCATGGGGCAAATGATGATGTCCTCAGAGCCTTCGAGCTGCTGCCGCAATTCCAAGCCCAGGCTCGTTGGGATGGGAGTGGGGCTCACAGACTGGGCGCGCATGCCCCCAGGAGGCGGGGCGGAGGCCCCAGGGCACAGGCAAACGTAAGCAAAGGCAGCAGGAGCGACAAGGGAAGAGGTGAGGGGGTGCTGTGGCGTCTCGGCGCAGAACCGCGCTTTCTCATGCAGGAGAGCAGGGTGGCTAAACTGGGCCGTGCGCTGCTGCGACTGACGCAAGAGGCTGGGACAACTGTGAGGCATATCCTGCATGGTACTTCCCGAATGGTGTACCACACTGCCTGAAAGTCTGCTGCCCTGCATGCTTCTGATCGAACTGCCCGACATATCAGATTGCATGCCTAAGCCAGTCCAAACGACAGGCGTTGACAGAAAAGCTGATGCCCCGTCTCCTGAAAGACTGGAGTTGGGAGCGGCCTCGCTGCAAATCTGTTGACCTGCCGACGTGTTAGAGACTGGCGGGCTTCTCCCCAAGCCTGGGCCCGAATGTAAGGAAACTACAGCTGTGGTGGACGGCGAGGTTATTCCCCAGCTCCCGTCCTGTCTGGTGCAATGTTCACTCACTTCTGGCGTTCTTCCCTGGCCGTCAGAATGCGATCTATCTGGTTCTATGTGACCCCTGCAGCGGTCGCTCAGTCTGGCTTCGACTCCCGAGCTGCTGGCGATGGCGGAGGGGCCGGTCTCCGTGCTGATCTGACCGGGCTTGATGACCTCGAACTCTCTCCCGAAGGCGGGGAGGCCGTCTCCCCGCCCTGCGCGAAACCCCATGTCCTCTTTCAGCGTCGCCAGGGGCACCGTCACCGACTTGTGCGCCGCAGGCGTGGCCCCCTCCTGCCCGACCACCTGGGGGGCTGCAGGCCCCTCGGCAGGAGCAGCCCCAGCCGTCGGCAGCGCTGGCCCAGCGGGCGGCTCTGGCCCCGCGGGCGGCGCTGGGCTCAGCGCTGGCCCCGCGGGCGTCGCTGGGCCCGCAGACGATGCTCCTGCGCCTGCCTCGGATGGCTGGGGGGCCGCAGCAGTGCCCGTCATGGCGGCCGTGGCCAGGTCAGGCAAGTGAGTGCCCGGCGCTGTAGCCATGTTTTGCATCAGCGCGGCCATCATGTGAAGCGTTTGCTGCATCGGGCCCAAACTCTCCTTCGGCTTCTTGGCCATTTTGGCGTCGAGGGTCTGCTGAGGTCTCCAGACTGGCAGTACAGATATCGGATTCCTCTCTCCATGTGAATTTGTAGAGGGAGGCGGCGGCGCAGGCAATGTTGCCTGTGGCGCGCGATTCTCTTCGAGGTTGACCACTGGCACCTGCATGTACTGGTCGTGCATCGCCTGCTGCATTGCCGCGCCCTCCTCGTATTCCTGCTCCACCTCCTGCATCTCCATGAGCTCGACTTTGGTACGCTTCATACCCTCCAGTTGATATGCCTGGTCTTCGACCTGAGCCATCAACTGCTTCACCTTGAACTGGGCTGCTTTGAACTGCTCCCTGATGCTCTCCTGCTTCTTTCCAATTCGTATGATGGCTTCGTCGACGTGTTTGATCTGATACTCCGCACCGCGGTGGGCGATGATCATACGCCTGCATACTGATATCTCCCCGCACGTCTCGTTTTTGTTTTTTGCTGCCCACAACATGCGGTACTGTGCCCATAAGAACTGAAGCCTCAACTTTGTTTTTGCCACGTGAGCTGCAATCTCTACCTCTGTGGCCGTCGGCTTGACTGGCGCATACGCTGGATGTGCAAGAGCCTCGCTGGGAGTCGCCATGCGCACGAAGGGAGGCTCCTTCACTCGTTCTTCTGCTGACTTTGACCACGGAGGTGGTGGCCTTGAGAGACTGCGCGTTCTTTGTCGACGGCCCTGCGGCGTGGCTGAACGATCTCGCTGCTGACAGACATCCCGCCAGTGCCCAGAGCAGCCACGGCAGTGCGCATGTCCTCCTGCGTTGCGGACGTCGCATTGGCACCTCCATTGTGGCATCGGTGCTCCCAGACATCTGGGAGGCTGCTGCGCACTGTGGTGCTTCGAGAGGGTCTTCTTGGCCGCCGTCAATCGTAGAAGGACACGAAACCAGGATCTTTGACTTCGCTGCCTTCTGTGCCACGCGGGCTCACGGACCTTCAACCCCGCAGAAGGAAGAAGGATTCACGGGGGGGAAGGCGTCCCCGTCGCCTGGTGTGAATGGAAAAGAAACTGTAGCGGCTGGGAGGGATGGCGTCCCCAGCGCGCGAAAGGTCAGCCAGGCACAGGTCCCCCTGCTGGGCCTCCCTCGGGCGCGGGGAGGAAGAGATCCCCGCAAACGGCCTTCCTCCTCCTCCTCCTCCTCCTCCTCCTCCTCCTCCTCCTCCACCACCTCCTGCCCCTCCTTCTCTTCCTCCTCCACCTCTTCCGCCTCCTCCTCCTTCTCCTCCTCCTCGCCCTGCCCCTCCCCCACATCATTTCTCACAGGTCCGCGCGGGTTTCCTGGATCAGCACTGGACCCCCTCCCTAGCGCGTGGAGCGCGCCAGTGGCAGTGCTGGAGGCGCCGCCACTGGTGCCCATCGCCGATCCAATGAATCAGCACGGGCCTCAGAGAACATGTGCTTATGCCGCTTCTTGTTCTTCGAAGGATGCGGCTGGCCCTGGTCCATCCGGAAGCGAGTGGCACCTTGCGGATCGAAAGGCCTGGTCGACCGACTCGGCTCCGATGGTCCAGCAGATCGACCGGATGAGCGGCCTGATCAACGGCCTGATCGACTGATCAGGGCCTACTGTTAGGGCGGGCATGTCCTCCTACATGCGGATCTTGGAAGAACAATGGAAGATAGTCCAAACATATTTTTAGAATCCATCGACCGCTTGGGGCCAGGACGTGTGAGATGCTTCCCCCTCCTCCCCCGGGAGCCTGTTCTGGCCGGTTTCGAGGGGGGGTGCCGGGGGCAAATGCGTCAGTCGCGCCCTTGGAGCCTCAGGGGGCACAAAAACGGGCCAAGAGAGCTCCAAGAGGCCCCCTGGACTACGGTCCCAGAGGGCCACGAGCGCCGAGAGGTCGATCCCATACGCCCAAGATTGCCTCCAGACGGCCCCAGAGGCCCCTAAGACGCCCCCCAAAGCCACCAACAGGCGTCCCAAGAGACCCTCAAGAAGCAGAAATCGGCCCATTCCCGGAAGAAAACGTATATTTTTAGCGCAGTCCATTCTTGGGCGTTCACGGGGCCCACAACGGCCGAGAAGCCTTCGAATATCGACCCCATACAGCCCAAGAGGCCTCCAAGAGGGCTCTAAGACTGCCCAAAAGGGCCCCAAGAGGGCCCCAGAAACCACCACAACGGCACAGGAGAACCCCAAGAGGACCCCAAAATGGGCAAAGAGGGTCCCACAAGGCCTCCTGGATGGTCCAAGAGGGCCGCGAGTCGCCGAGAGGTTGCTCCAAGACGCTCGAGATTGCTTCAAGACGGCCCAGAGGCCCCCAATACGCTCCAAGAAGCCACCTGGAGGCGTCCCAAGATGCCCTCAGGAAGCAAACATCGTCAAATGTTCTAAGTGAAAGCGTAGAGTTTCAGCACAATCGCCTCTTGGGCTTCCACGAGGCCCACAACAGCCCGAGAAGCCTTCGAAGATCGACCCCAGACGGGCGCCAAGAGGGCGCCAGAAGTTACCAAAACGGTTTAGGAAGGCCCCAGGACGGCCCCCAAATGAGCCAAGAGGGTCCCACAAGGCCCCCCCGACGGTCCACGAGGGCTACGACTCGTCAGAGGATCGCTCCAAGACGCCCGAGATTGCCTCAAGACGGCCCCAAGGGCCCCCTGGATGCCCTAAGAAGCCACCAGGAGGCGTCCCAAGATGCCCTCAAGAAGCAAACATCGTCCCATTCCCTAGAAGGAAACGTATATGTTTTGCACATTCGCCTCTTGGCCGTTCACGAGGCTCACAACAGCCCAGGAAGCCTCCAAGATCGACCCAAGATAGTCCCAGAGGCGTCCGAGAAGGCTCCAAGACGGCCCAAGGGGCCGGGTCGGCGGTGCGGCGTAAGCCAATGAATCGTCAAAGACAATCGTCCCCAGACAATGTTTGACTATTTTTGAACATTCCTTCTGTAGAGCGACGTGCCCGACTTCGGCCTGGTAAGGGCACAACTATGAGGCCGTTCTGCAGCCGCTTCATCGCCTCCGGGCGAGTGTGGCACCCCACCGCCGGCTGCATGGGATCGACAATCACAGAAGGCCCTTGCCACGCTCACGAATCCACTCCGTCCCCGTCCTCCTCATCCCTCGTGCCTGGCCGAGAAAGAAAGCGGAGAGTAAGAGCGAGATGGGGAGAGAGAGAGAGAGATGGAGAGCAAGCGAGAGCGAGAAAGAGAGAGAGGGAAAGAGAAGGAGAGAGGGAGGAATAGGCAGATGGCGACGAGAAGGCTTGGATGGGTGGTTCGTGACGGGTCGCGGGGGCCTCCTACATCACAGGAGCGCACACCGGCACAACCAGCTCCACGCCAGGCGTCAGAAAATCCCGGAGCGGCCCGAAGGGCGCGTAGTCGGCGTCGACGTAGACGCCGCCGGAGACGAACAGCGCGCACAGGCGCCACAGGTCGGCCTTCTGCTGGTACTGCCCCAGCGAGTCGAAGATCTGCAGGAAGATCTCATCGAATTCGCTTGCTATGAGCTGGCGCATGTCCTGGGGGGGGAAAGGTACCGATATCGTGACTCCCCTGAACTCTCTCAGGGTGCAGCATTCCGATTTGAACTTCGAGGAGAATCCAGCCGTGGCGACGAGGGCTCTCCAGAAGAAGCAGCGGTGTCGGTACTTATCTTTTCCTACCTGCTGTCCGACGCGTCGTGGAGCAAAAACTCGAACTCGGGGTTAAGGCGCCTCCACTTCCTCAACACCGCGTCGATCGGCCCTGGGATCCCGGCCTTGCGGTTGAGCGTCTGCAGGAGCACCCGCGGGATGCGATGGCGGGGCGTCCGCGCACGGGGCCGGGCGGGCGGTCGACGGCGATCGGGCGACGGGCTGCAGGCGGGCTGTCCGCTAAGTCGAGCTTGATCGGAGAGGACACGAGAGAGGACACGGCGTGTGAGGGAAGGAGTGGCGGAAGGGAAGATCCCCTCCCGATCATGTCGGTAAAGGCAGGGCTGTGATGAAGTTGTTACCCTTCTCCACTGTCCTGAAGTCAGCGTTGTGTGTTCCAATGCCGATGGGCCGAAAAGGGGCAGTGGGTTAAGTAAATGCTAGGATAGGTACTGGATTCATTCACACAAGACCCTTCCGATGGCCACATTGCCATGGAAAGGTAGATGGCATGGGTCGCGAAACTCCGGGCACATGGCTTCCCTTGATTTGGCAGGGTCGACCTACTGATCAAACTCGACTGTAAGAGTCGGGAGGGAACGTGCCCACAAGTGTTTTCGGGGGTCCGCGACGGTGAGGCTGCTCGATCGTTCTCTCCTGCGCCGCCATTCAGCCCACATCACTTCCCCCTCTTGGCGCGCACTCCCGCCCAGTCCTCTCGGGGGCGGGCGATTCGGCGTGCCAGCTCTTCCAACGCGACCTCTTTAATTCCCAGAACATGTAACTCCAGATTCGCTCTGACTGGTAGGCTACGGCACGCTAATTCAGGCTGTGCCAACTAAACACCCGCCAAGCTGAGCCAGGCCTGGCTATGCTGCAAGGGCCAGGCTAAGCTCAGCCAAGCAAGCATACGCCAAGCTACGCCAGGCCACGTCAAGCCAAACCAAACTTGGCCAGGCTAACCCGAGCCAAACCACCCCGAGCCAATGCAAACTTAGCTCGCCAACGCAACTACATTTGCCATCGCAGTGGGGCGCTCAAAGGCTTGTACAACTGTGAGTGGCAGAAGGATTTCTGTTTTTTGATCGGGTGCGAGAAAGACTGGGGCAAGGAAGAAGGGCCCGCATCATGGCACGAAGCGTTTGTGCAGACGAGCGGGTGCTAGCAGGAGAATAGGGCCGTGAACTGTGAGAGGTTTCATGGCCGCGGCCATGACCTCCTTACACATCCGCACAACTCATGCGTTGAGGGCCCACGTCCCGATTTGCTGGAACTTTTGGGCGCTCCTCGGCGCTCCTGGGGTGCATGTCCGTATCCGCGCCCCCGCGGTCTGGACTCTGAGGCGCGATCCCGCGGATTCGCGGTCGCACGGATACTTCCGCGGAACATCCGCGACAACTCCCCCACCCCCCCTTATCCGCGGGGTCGTGGCCCAGGGGTCTGGCCTGAGAGGCCGCGGATGCAGACATGTTTCTCGCCCACGAGCGCGTCAATAAATCCAACGGCCAACATTGTTAAACAACCTGAAGCTTTACACAGCCACTGGCCTCACAGGGTGCGCCAGGCCACGTGCCCAGGACATCCCCGGTCCCCGCCCAAGGCGAGACCTCTCGGACCTCCAAGAGACACTCGACGACCCCAAGAGGCCCTCCAAGAATGCCAGTCACGGAGGCGGGAGGTGCCGCAGGCCGCATTCATGTATACATACATATCTGGACGAGAGACGTATATATACACATAGGAAGTCATGCATAGATACACATAGGCATGTAAATGTTATGTTTGGCATGTTAGGACACCCCCTTCGTCGACTCTGAGTTCCTTGAAGTGCCCCCAGGGCTCCGCGGGTCCATCCGAAGACGAGACATCGTCGTGGGGCACCCGCTGGCAGGCCAGTTCCTTGGCGCACCTGCTCGGAGCCCTGTTGCCTTGGGAGCCCATCCAGCGCCCCGAGTTGAGAGGCCTCGCAGATGGGGTCCGAGTAGATCGGGCCGGAGGATCGCACCGCGTCGCCGATGCATCGGCGATGGGGCTCGAGGCGGAGCCCGATTCTCTCCGCGCCGACGGCGGCGATGCATCGCCGACGTCGCCGATGCATCGAAGGTGTATCGCACGTGTATCGGTGATGCAGCGGCGAACGGCGCGACCCTTCGACTCCATATACTCGGACACCAGTGGGAGGCCTCTAGAGCTTGACCGCGCTTCGCAAGAACACTAAGCCCGCGACAAGCAAATTGGCGGACGTCGGCCGCAACGCATTCCCTGGGAACGGATTTCAACCTGGATAGATTTGTTGTTGAAGGTCCCGCGGCCAATTAGAAGAGGCCCGCTTAGCTTTAACTACCGCAAAGCCTTCTGTCGTGTTGGTTTGTAGCGACGCGAAACGGGCTGTGCACATTTATGTGTATACATATCCATACAGATATATATATATATATATATATAGATATATTATATATAATCTGGCTGTATGTATGGATTGGCCGATACCCACGCGCATGATACGGACCGCTCTGGAAACCCTGAATCCAAACAAACTGGCACCTCCAAAAAGGAGGGTCGCTTTTGCTTCCGCGAGTCTTCCGTCAACATCTCCTCTGGCCTGGCCGCAACCCACCTTCCGCCGAAGAAGAGACCCCAACTCATCGACCCCTCGAAAGCGAGGCCCTCCCGGAAGCACCCCCACGGGCGCTGGGCTCGGAGGTCAACCATCGACCCCCATGTTTGAGTCAGGACTTCGAACAAGCTTTCCATCCGTGGAATCGAAAAGCCCTACGGTTGCCCCAAAAGAGGCCCCAGAAGACCCCACATCTCAATTAGTTTACATCCGCCGAACTGTTTTTCCAATCCACGGCCCCAGGAAGCACCCACCGCTTCATCGGGGGTAGACTTTTCTCCAGATCCGAGAACGGCCCCTGGGGACCGGAATCGATGAACATCCGCTCGCTGGAACAATCACGTCGTCCTAGATCTTGGCATCCTTAAAGCTCGATCCAAGATCGACGGTTGATACAAGTACTTTAGCAAAACGCCCTTTAGTGAAAACCTCCAGGGTGCGGGCTTCACAAAGACATCCGATGTCTTGTTTTTTTCAATGCGGGGTTCCTGGAGCTCTGGACCACTTCCTCAGGACCGGCTTTTCGTTCTGTATTGATGTTTGACGGTCTTGGGGCCCGAGAGGACTCCCAGACGCCGAAAACGAAGAGAAACCTTCGCCTTGATTTTTCGATACGTTGGAGGTCTGGGTATCCCAATGCCCGACAGAAGCTCCCGAGGCCCTGGCCATGATATCCACCCGCCCCAAATCATCACCCCCCTTTTGGCAGCCCACAATGTCGCTCCGCTCCGCGGAGTGGGAGGCAGGGAACGGCTCGAGACGCTGACGCCTGGGAATGGGGACGTGGAGAGCGCGTCGCGCCGAAGCGTGGTAGGCCAGAACCCGCGGAGCGACACGCTCAGCCAAAATTCCCGACAGTAGCTGGTGCGAGTCAAGTGAGTCGTTTGCGGGTTGAGGGACAAGTGGATTCCCACACCGTCGCACGACATCAGCAATTTTGTATCTGCCTTATGTTGTTGATCCTGCGTCCCTTTCAGACTGCCAGGCGATGAAGTCAGGAGTGCCTAAAAAGGGGGAGGAGGACCTGCTCAGATGGAGAGAAAGAGCGAGCTGGAATCGGTGACACGTCACCGAAAACCCGCGCTCGGATGCTCGACAGCTAAGCTCCCGCCGCCCGAGCCGTCGCCTCCGCCCGGCGGGTCCCCGCCATGCCGCGGGGGCGCCCGGGCCGGCCGCACACCGTGCCGCTCCCGCCGCAGCAAGCTGGGCCACCGCGACGCCGCGAGGGCGCGCGCGAGCTCGCCGGCCGGAGGGGCCCCCGAGCGAATCGGACTATTCATCGGATCGGGCCGCATCGGCCAGGATTCGGGATCGGGTTGGGTCGGCTGCGCAAAGATGCACAACAGCGCCATGCCAGCCTCGGGCCGCATCGGGTCGTCGGCGCATCTAAATCGAGCCGGCTTGGGCCAGCCAAGAAACTGATCAGGAGGCGCCAGGAGCAAACTCCTGGGAGTTCTTCGTACTTTTTATGCGAGGTCGAGGTTTTCGAACGCTCTCGTTGGTTCTTTGCGTTGGCTCAGCCTCGGGATGCACTCCAGCAGCTGCGCCTCGCCGAGGGCGTTCCGGGCGTGCCCAGATCGTCCCGAACGGCTGTCGGAGGATGGAGGGAGGGGAGGGATGGGAGGGGGAGGGAGGCAAGCTAGGTGCGATCGCGTCATATCTGACGTTCCCCCCCCCTCACATCCCTCACCATGACGTAGACATCCCCCCTATTATCACAGTCGGATGTCGAGCAGGGCAATGATCGCGAGAGGGTGCGCGATGCATGGTGGAGCACGGCATGGCATGGCGTAGAAGAGCACGGCAGTGCGCAGCATGCCATAGCATGGCGTGGCATTGCGCACTGAGGCATTACATCACAAAGCATTGCAATGCAAAGCGTGGCATCGCACAGCGGCGCAGAACACAGCACCGCACGGCATTTCATGGCATGGCGCCAAGTTCCTTGGAGGGTAAGTGGATCGTCTCCGAGAGGTCTTGGCCGGTCTGGAATTGTGGCTAGCTCCAAGGGCTCCCTGAAAAGCTCCACACAAGGCGGGGCTGATGGAGGGCACCCGCTGGCTCTGCTTTCAACATCGCCCTCTCAAAGCAGAAACGGGGCTCCCGCTTGATACTTCTTGAAAACGACGATGCCCCAAAGTTGGGGAGATTCTGCGACCCCCGAAAATCAATGAATCGACACCGAATGCGTAACCATTTCCTATGTCTTTTTAGTTTTTCTAGATTTGGGGGCTTCTTTGGAAGGAAGGCCAGCGCTGCAGCGGGAGCACGATTCGGAACGAGCGGAAGCGCCGAAATGAGGCCAGCGCTGCAGCGGGAGCACGAATCGGAACGAGCAGAGGCCCCAAAATGGGGCCAGCGCTTGAGCAGGAGCAACGTGTTGAAAAATACCCAAGCGAAAACCCAACTCCCAGGAATCCGATGTAAAAAACAGCACGCGGAGGGGGGCCCGATATCTTCCGGACGTCACCAGGGGAGAAGGGAGAGTAGTATTCAGATGGTGTAATTGTGGATGGGGAGGGGAGGGGAGGCGAGGGGAGGGACGGAGGAGGAGGAGGAGGAGGAGGAGGAGGAGGAGGAGGAGGAGGAGCAGAGGGAAGCGGAGGAGGAGGAGCAGGATGAGGAGGGGGAGGAGGAAGCGGAGGAGGAGGAGAAGCATGAGGAGGGGGAGGAAGCGGAGAAGGAGGAGGAGGAGGAGGAGGAGGAGGAGGAGGAGGAGGAGGGGGAGGAGTAGGAGGGACCTCCCCGACCCCCCGAACCCCCCTCCCAGGGAGCGGAGGCCAGCGCCGCGCGGACGCCCGACAGCCTGCGTTCCTGCCGCCCTCTGGGGGTCCCCAAGACCACGCCGTGACGGACCGCGCGGCGACCTCGGCTGCCCCCACGACCTCACCTCGAACGGTCCGCCACCGCACCGGAAGGCCTCCTGGATGGGGTCCGGGCAGATGGGGCTCGGAGGAACTCGATGCCCTGGCGGCATCGGCGATGCATCGGCGCCGTCGGCATTGAGAACGTCGGGCTCCGCATCGAGCCGCATCGCCGATTCCTCGCCGATTCCTCGCCGATGCATCGCCGATGCGGCGCGATCCTCCGACCCCATCCAGGAGGCCTAGACGCACGGTTTTGGGACCCTGGAAGCCCCGCTCGCCCGAGACGTCCTCGGAGAAAGGCCCGAGTCCCAAAGCCGTGCCTCCAGCTCGAGTCCAGCTCGAATCCCCACCTGATCACCTCGCGGCGTGGTCACCACACCGTTCGGGGGCCCCAGATGCTTGGGGGGGGGGCAAAACGCGTGGATGGGGTAGAGAAGCGTGCACCTTCCGCGAAACTTTTCGGCCCGCGGTGGCAGTCCACAGTCCTGCAGGCCATGGGAGGAGCGACCGGCTCGGGGGTGGCGGAGACATCGGCCTGGCATCGGCGGTGCGTCGCTGAGGGATCATCAGCGACACGTCCCCGATCGCGAAACCGCCTGTTCCTGGGAGGGATGGGCTCAACATCAGGCTCCCATCGGCGATGAGCGGGCGATGGGGGTTCGATTTTTCTCCCCCCCTGGGCCTTTCCCCCCCCCCAACTAGCAGATCCGTTCTCAATGAGGGGTCCCCAAACGTCACGACCCTTTCTCCTGGGGGTTCGTCATCCCGACCGTCTTCTGACGGACTTCAGGGCCCAGCGAAGGAGGAAGGCACAGAAACCCTTCGTCGTGATTTTTGCTCACGACGCGAGCACATCTGAGCCCAGGGGAGGGGCTGAACTCGGACCCAACCGGACTCGGACCAGGCTGAACTCGGACCTGGGGCTCCCGGTGCAGCGCGGCCCTCGGGTCCGAGCGCGGTCGGATCCGAGTTCAGTCTGGGTCCCAGTTCGGTCAGGTCCGAGCTCGGTCGGGTCCGAGTTCGGCCCCTGTGGGGAAACCAAAAAAGTATGTACCCATACTGCTACTCACACGAACCTCCGCCGGGGTGCGCTCTGACCAGCATTCAGAGACGCATCCAGCGGCGGCGACGAGGGCCACCCAGGAGGCCCCCAAAGGGGGGAAAACGAGGGAAGGGCAACGGCATCGGTACCTTTTACATTCGGGGCCCGACCGCAAGAAACCTTCCACAAGAAACCCAACCCTGAGACCCCAGGACGTCCATTGATTTTTGGTGCGGGAGCGTCACGCTCTCCATAGCAATGCCATCGAAACCCAAGAAACTCGGCCTGGAGGCAAACAGGGTGCTTCTTGACATTGGGCTTCCACTGTACTCCTCCGACACTGTCCCCGACCAACCCTCGGGGCCCTCCGGGGGTGGTGTTGGCGCCGCCGCGGCGGGCGAGCCCCGCCACGGCGGCCACCGGTGGCCCCCTGAGCGGGCCCTCGGCGGGCGCGCCGCCGAGCGCGGCGGGCGCCCCGCCGGCCGCGACCAGCAGCAGCGGCCGCATGGGGCGCGGGCGCCGCGCCGTGGCGCAGCGCGGCGCGCGGCGCGGCAGTGAACTCACTGAAGGAGGAGGAGGAGGAGGAGGAGGAGGAGGAGGAGGAGGAGGAGGAGGAGGAGGAGGAGCGCACGCAGCTTGAATCCACGGTGATCCAGCTACTGCCAGCGTTCTAACACCGCATTGCGGCGAGAGCAGCGGCTCGTATTTCGTAGCTATATGCTGGCAAAGGGGCACGGGTGCCGAGCGCCATGTCAGCTTTCAGCTTGTGGTAGATATGCAAACTGAACACGACAATGGTGTGGGTATTCGCTCTCCATGTCCCGCGAGGGGCTGGGGCAGGAAGGCAGGCAGGAGGATGGCCACGGGGGAAAGCGAGGCGGTGGGGCAGGCGAGGGCACGAGAGGTAATGGGACATGGAGTCGGTGTCTGTACATGCGAAAAGACATCGGTGAGACTGGGCACTGAGGACACGAGCTGACGTCGTCCAGCCGCCAGCAAGTGTCTTGAGGTGGGCCCAGGCCCAAGACGGGAGAGTGTATTCCAAAATCTGGCGAAGCGCAGCCCATCTCGGGTCAACTCTGGGAGCGGGAGCATTGCGGAGATGTGCAGGTTGGGTTCCCTCATCTCTGTGTTCCCGAAGGGGTCCTCCGGAACATGGTCAACAATCTAGCTGTGGAGACGGCGGCCTAGGAAAGAGGGGACATAATCAGGGAACAACGAGGGGGGGACGGAGCGGACGAGTACTCGCTGCGGCCGCGGGCGGCGCACTTCCTCGCCAGAGTGCCGAATCTCCTCGCGCGCCGCGGCCGTCGCTTTCCGCCACGCGTCCCGAGGGATCCCCGAAGCATGGGAAGCGGCGGGAGAAAGACTGGCGAAGCATTCACAGATGCTGATCGGGTTCGCCCAGCACTCAAGGCTAAGGCGCCCCATCGCGACACGTGGGAGACTCCCAGACATCTCAGCCTGCGACAACAGAGTGTCAAGCGAGGCCCTCCACCCACCCTCCCCGAATTCGCGAAGCGTCTGAAATGCCGTGCACCACGCCGAAGCAGCACACATGACTCGAAGCGAACGTGGGGTGGCCGAGGCAAGCCAATTACGTATGCTGAGGAGCTCACCGAGGTCAAAGGAATTGGGGGGAGGCGAAGGAGGCAGTGGAGGACGTGACGTTCCGCACGGAGGAGGGAGGCGGGAGGAGGCAAGAACTGGCATAGGTCGCGCAACACAGTGATAGCGCCAAAGTTAGAAATGCGGCAGTTGGCTTCCCTGGGGGATCGCGACAAGGCAATTTTCCGAACTCGTTAACGCCACTTTCGTGTGGGTGCCGCCCACTGGGCGTCTGGCTCCGCCGCCGGGCCGAATTGCATGCCAAGAAACTCAGCGGATCCAGCGATCTTGAAATCAGCCCATGCTGGGATGAGGATCAGGATCTGATGGCGCTATTGCTGCACTGCGGCGTCCGAGCACCGCTCGGCTGAAGGAACGATGGCGCACTTCGCTGGCTGCAGAGAAAGGTTGGCAAAGGTGCGGGCGCAAGGAGGGGAAAGCAAAGGAAGGAGGCCAATCGAAGGGAACGTCGCACCCACATCGTCCGTCGTCGCACCACACTCCGGCTCAAGCTTTGGAGCCCATCAGCAACGCCCGGGGCACAACATACGAGGAGAAGGAGGAGGAAGAGGAGAAGGACCAGTGTAAGCCCAAGAGGCATCAACGATGTTGAAATACACCCTCCCTCTAAGC